CCAGCGATGAGATCACTGTTGAGACGGTGAATACAAGTGGACAGTCATCTCACACCACATGTTTAGCCGCTATATTCCTGACAGTGAACGCCACACTCGGCGCCGGTCTTCTCAATATTCCGCACGCGTTCAACGATTCCGGAGGAATATTCTGTTCACTCGTCGTTCAAACCGTAAGTTTGTTTCGCGAACTTCTTGTGAAATTCAAAACAAACAAACATTTTAATAATTTTTATTTCGCGTAAAAATTGATATATTTTTAATTAAAAAAATTATACATGTATATAATGTATATATATATATATATAATGTATATAAATTTCCAATAGATTTTCGTGATATTAGTGATCGGCTCTCTCTTGTTATTGACGTATTGTATCGATATATCAAACGCCACGTCCTTTCAAGACGTGGTTTTGGCATTTTGTGGTCCCAGAGCTCAACATTTTTGACCAGCGATGAGATCACTGTTGAGACGGTGAATACAAGTGGACAGTCATCTCACACCACATGTTTAGCCGCTATATTCCTGACAGTGAACGCCACACTCGGCGCCGGTCTTCTCAATATTCCGCACGCTTTCAACGATTCCGGAGGAATATTCTGTTCACTCGTCGTTCAAACCGTAAGTTTGTTTCGCGAACTTCTTGTAAAATTCAAAACAAACAAACATTTTAATAATTTTTATTTCGGGTAAAAATTGATAGATTTTTAATTAAAAAAATTATATATAAATTTTTAAATAGATTTTCGTGATATTAGTGATCGGCTCTCTCTTGTTATTGACGTATTGTATCGATATATCAAACGCCACGTCCTTTCAAGACGTGGTTTTGGCATTTTGTGGTCCCAGAGCTCAACATTTTTGCTCAATTATTATAGTCCTCTATTCATACGGCGCTTGCATTACATTTGTTATTATAATTGGCGATCAATTTGACAGAAGTAATGACGAAAACAATTGCTTTAACGCATAACGTGTGGAACTAATTAATTATTGTTTTTATTAGTCTTTCTATCACTCTATGGCACAAATTTCAATCAATTCTGGTATATGAGCCGTACGTTCACAATGAGTACTACATGTGCTCTACTTGTTATTCCTCTCTCCTTCTCGAAGAAGATCTCATTCTTGAAGAACGCGAGGTATAACTCAATTGCCTATCAATACAATCCATATATTAAATAGAGTGCATTCTTCTTTGTTTTGCAGTCTTTTGGGCTTTTGTACGACATTTTACTTAATATTTTTAGTTATATTTCAATATTTTAAAAGCGATGAAACGAATGTTTGGGTTAAGACCCGACCCAACACATGGACTGAAGTATTTTATATAACACCTGTGCTATGCTTCGCATATCAGGTTCGGTTCATTGCACTACTAATAAACACTTTATTCGTATAATGACTATTAAATTACTTTTAGTGTCAATTAAGTTGGATTCCGACCTATTCTGGAATGAGGCACAGAAGCAGTTCAATTAAAATTACGCTCACAATCATTATATCGATACTGATTTGCTATCTCTCCTACACATTGACAGCAATTTTCGGTTTAATTACATTCGGTTCCGATTATATAGAAAATGATTTGATGTCCAATTATGATGCGAACCATTTGTTTGTATTGTTTGCGATTATTATATTGATCGCGAAGACTATAACCGTCTATCCATTACTGTTATTCTGCGGACGAATAGCTGTGGAAGACTTTATGCAAAAGTTGAGTGAAATGTTTTGCACGAATTTAGCGTTTTGTGATAACTCATCGCGTTTTGAGCCATTAAGAAGAGCCTTAATCGTATTGATTTGGATTATCACCACAATTATAATCGCCATTTATATCCCGAACATAACGATTGCTATTGAATTCCTGGGCTCAGGCGCTATACTATTCATCTTTATATTTCCGGGACTTTGTTTCCTAAACGCAGTTTTAATTAAAGACAAAAGTTTGCATTTACTTAAAGACAAAATTTATATTTTTATTGCATCTCTTTATATAGTTTTAGGTGTTTTTATACTCGGACTCACATTAACTCAAACTATAGACAAGTATTTATTTAAAATATAAAAAAACCCAAAATTGTCACGAAATTAATGATAATGTCATCTAAAATAGGAGTACAAATATTTTGATAAACAAAAACACAGAGTGTATATAATTTGTTATACTTAAGAATAAAGTTGAGTGATAAATTCATTTATATATTGTATACATTTCTCTCAATTATCAATATTATAATTAATTTAATTTGTTATATAAACACTAATAATTTTCATTTAATTATTCTTATTCTTATTAATGATAAACTAAAATATAATTTCAAATATAAGTGATTTGTTGTTCTCCATTGACTAAACAGTATTAACTGGTATTACTTCCGGGCGTTAACTCGTAATCAATAGGCGATGCGTTGCTCTCGTTTGGAGAGACGGATGAAGTGACAGAACCGGCACTATTGCCGCCAATGCGCGCCACATTGAAGAGGTCACACGCGGAGGGAAGCGGTGCCAAACCCGTCACTGATGGCAATCGACTCAAATCGGGCAGATTCTGGAGATGAGACTTGAGTTCGTTCCTCACGTGAACCACTTTCTGGAGCTTCTCTTTGTATTCATTGAGTTTTTGTTCGGCCACTGAAAGCGCGTGCCTTTGGTTTTGGGTGTAATTGCGAAGTAATTGCGACATTTGTTTCCTGTCGTCTAATTCACGGGTCAATCGCGTGTTATAGTCGGCCAACAGAGAGCGGGCCTCGTCTACAAGTTTGGTCAACCGCTCGGCCGCTCCCTTATCGCGGATTTTGTCCAAAAGAGTCGCGTCAAACACTTCGTTCGGAAGGCTCGCTATCTTCTGGCGGACACCGGCGTCAGCAGAGGCCGAGTTTTCCAACTCTTGTAAGGCTTTAATAAGAGCTTCGGAGTCGACCGGCGCTCCGCTGTTGAGGACAGGCGTCTTCTTCTCAATACTTTCGACAATTTTTGCCAATTTTTGTTTCGGAATTATCACTGAATTCGTCGATTCATCTGTTGATCGCTTTTTTGGAGGATTCGTGTGCTTCGAGTTCTTCTCGACGGAGCGCTTCTTCGGCTCCTTCTTATCGGTCTTCGGTTTCGAGTCTTTAGAGCCCTTTTGGGCGTCTTTTTTATGATCCGAACGCTTCGCTTCCTTCGCCTCATTTGGCTTCAAATCATTAGTTTTAGACGAATTGTTCACATCTTTGACTGACTGTTGATTCTTCCTTAGAGTGAGCGAAGAGCGAAATGATTTGATGTCATTTGAGTCGTAAATCTGTCGCTCCTCCCAAATGGCCAAAATCCTCTCAAGCGATCCCAATGTCTTGTCGTCCGAGTCTCTGAAAACAGACAACAAAGTTAACAACGCGTTCAAAATGCGGGCCAAAGGGAGTGATGGCATACTTCGCCACCGATTCAAACGAAGCCGCGAGAACTGCTCCGAACTCTTTCGAGAATTCGGGCCCTTTTTTGCGGCTGTTTTGGATGATATCGTTCGCCAAATACATGAATGTCAATCGTCGCACCGCTTTGGCTGCCAATCAAAACACATGCAAATCATTAGTGATGTGTCGCCAAAACATGTGGTGACCAAAGAGTGACCACTTGTGAGATACAAACCTTTCTTGAGTTCGGCGAACCAGGTCTGGACGATACTCTTGTGGTGCTTTCGGTGATGGATTAGCCATAGGGACAGCGTTTGTATCGACTGTTGGGAACTGTTTAAGTCGATTAACTTCTTTTCCAGCGTCTGAGCCGCGAAACCAGACATCGTTTGTCCGCAAAGTGTGTGTATATCTCAAGACAGGCAATCACTTCCAGCTGACGATTACCGCAACAAAGCAGACCTTAATTCACACTTAAATACAGCAAATAATTGACAGCTTTTGAAAAGCAATGAAATTTGTATCAAATTTACAAAACTATATATAATTTAGTCGTTGTTTGACTCAAAAACACTAATCAATAGACAGACGACTCGTTTTGCAATTGAATTGTCGTTTCGTATCAATCAATGGGTTATTAATAATAAACATTAAAAAAGTTTATTATTTTAAAAATAAACTACAATTAAATGCAGAGAAAAATTAAAACCATTTTTGTTTTGTATTGTATTTTGTTATGTGTTTTCACTCAACAGTATTATTGAGTCGATTATTATATTCACACGTTATTTATGTTTCGAGACTTACATTCAAAATGTGCTCAAAAGGTGTCAAACAATACAATCAATTGGTTTACCATTGGATTCACTGAAAGCGATCTTCGCTTGTATTGGGACACAAACTCATTGACCGACACATAGTCTTCGTCCGCTAATAGCCGTAAACGTGATAATAGGACACCGATTGTACTCATGAGCGCAATGTCTGCACCGCTACGGAACTCGTCGACCACCGGTTGGCCTAAAGGCCAGATTCCCACTCAATATACGGGCAAATACTTGACTACAAACAGCATTTTGTCCGTCACTGTCAACCGTACCATCAATTTGTGAGTCAAGACAATACATACCCCCCACTCATGACTGACCACTCAATGACTGTCCTCTTGTATGCCTTTAGGTATCCGTTGACTAACTATACGTTCGGAACAAAGGACGCGCTCTTCGAGAAGGACCCGTCAGTTCCGGCGCGCTTTCAACGAATGCGAGACGAGTTCGAGAAGATTGGCCAACGAAGAAGCGTTGAGGGCGTCCTCTTAGTCCACGAACACAAACTGCCGCACGTATTGCTCCTCCAATTGGGCACCACTTTCTTCAAGCTTCCCGGCGGCGAACTCAACCCCGGAGAGGACGAGTTGGACGGACTCAAGCGACTCATGACAGAGGTATGCGACGACCGCCAGAGTGTTGGCTCATTGACACTGATTGTTGTTGTTTTGCGCAGACATTGGGCCGTCAAGACGGCGGTACCAACGAGTGGGACGTGGAGGACACTGTGGGCAACTGGTGGCGGCCCAACTTCGAGCCGCCACAGTATCCCTACATTCCTCCGCATATCACAAAACCCAAAGAACATAAGCGACTGTTTTTGGTTCAGTTGCCGGAGAAGGCGCTGTTCGCTGTGCCCAAGAACTACAAACTAGTGGCCGCGCCGTTGTTCGAGCTCTACGACAACGCCCAGGGATACGGACCCATCATCTCGAGTCTGCCGCAGGCTTTGAGTCGTTTTAATTTTATTTATATGTGAAAATCGTCGCACAGTTTCCCCATTCATAATAATTAGCCATTCATTTAACGAGTTTTTGAGTGACATTAAAACGAATGATTGTTCAATAAATTTGTACCATTTATTGTATTTTTTACGAAACATTAATTTAAATCATTTCATTAATTGATTGATTGCTTTACGTTTTTAGAGCAATTGATTTACATTTTTCAATGTCTAACGGTTTTTACTACACATTCATTGAGAGATTACCAAAAATTACTTAAATTGTACTTTTAATGAATATTATTTTATTTTGTACAGAATCTCATGCTTTATCACTATATTTTATCATTAATTATTATTAAACATCTAAAACAATAATTTAATAAAAATCAAATCAAATTATGTGAATATATATATTTATATATTATATACAGTATAAAAATTAATTATAACTACAGGTTTACTATAGATTTACTATTTATATCAGTTTCAATGTGATGTAAACTAATTATTAATATAATTAATGTGATATTTAATGTGTCAAATGATTTGACTCAAATGGGTTAACACAGGCTCACCATTTCATATGCTCTTAGATTTCCCTTAAGATTGAAAATTATTTTTTTAATTAAATATGTTTTGATGGTTGTGTCAAAAGCCTGTCAACAGAATATAACCTAAGGTGAGACCAGAATATTGTCTATTCTATCAATATTTCTGTTAAATCCTGTGGTTTGTGTGTAAACGCTGTCATCAATTCATATCAAATTATATTTATTTATATTTTTATTAATGACTTTTTCACAAACACTAATCTATTGATTATTAGTATTATATTTGCAATAAATAGTGATTTATCAACAAATACTGATATATGAAGAAAACAATAAATTATTTATTAATATTATGCCTATCCTTATAAACATCGGAACCAGAATTGAAAATACACGACAATAACAATGTTCAGCGTTAGTGAAGAGAAAGTCTTTCAATTCATTCATCTTTGAGATAATTAAGCGATACTTGTATTTCATAATTAAATGAAATATTCATTTGAAAAAGTATCATGAAATTTATTAAGTATAAAATCTATGTGTGTCTATCTCTAACAAAATGCTAGTCATTCACACGAAAACTTATTGTTTAAATCAATCCTCTATTGGTTTGACAGATTCCTCTTTAGTAAACACGACTAAACTCTATCTTTGAAACGAAATTTTATTCAGAATTTAAAGATAAAGAATTGGTTTCGAAATCAATCAATTATTTTCTCTAAAGCTTCACATTCTGTGACTTTTGATTTATATTTGGGAAAATGTTTTAACGAATTATATTGTTTGACAAATAAATATAGTCTACAATATAAAGAATTAAATTATTTAAAGGCATTATCTTTGAAAATATATTTGTCAAATTAAAAAAAATCTGTTTATAATTTAATAATATTTTTAAAATTCTAATCTAAATATACAATATTTATATACATATTTATTATATTTATAAACAATTATTTATCTGTTATATAATATTTTAATAATTAATATTAAAAACATTATAAAACTTGAAAATTATAAAAGTAATTGTGTTGCAAAAAATTCTATTCAAATGCAATTAAATTGATTGCATGAGGAGTTTATAAACCCAATGATTGAAAGTTTTATTCGAAGAGTATTTTAGGATAAGAGTAGAGCCGAGGATATAAACTGATTTTCTCATCCACTCATCAATTATAAAAAGATGGCATTTATTGAAATCCTCGCGGAATTGGAAAGAATAAAGTAATCCAAAGTTAATCTCCATCTAAACTATATATTGCCGAACAATTTATTTTTATTTTTTGGTATATATTTTTTGCGTTAATCAACTCATAAACTATTCTGTAATCTTTTAATATTGATTGAAAAAACATTTGAAATATACAAAAAACAAATTGAATTTTACTTTATGTTTACTTTTTACTAATAAATTGTATAAGTGGAAATTATTCATATTGTGTTCATTAAATATTCAGTTCACCAATCTAGTTTCATATGTGATATGGTATTTGTTAAAATTATGTATTAGCAATAACTATCGCATCGGAGTGGCATGTTTTGTATGTAAACATAGTATAGTAGAGAATATGTGTTTAAATTGAATGTTATGTTGAATAGGAATTAATAGTATTGACAGAATTGTGGCAAATGTTGAATATGAAAACGCAAACATGTTGTACAGCCTATCGGTTCTCATCGGGGAGTATATGAGGGGTCAGTGAGTAATAAAGTAAAGCCAATTAAAATTCATGCGTCTGTCGACTGATTTTGGGTACGAATTAAACACAAATTGTGGCAATGAATCGGTTTTTAGTGCACATCTCCTGTATAGCGGATGGGATTCAAGAAGAATGGCTAAGTTTTTTTTATGTAAGATGAAAGACAGAGTGCGAGTGTATTATAGTGTAGTTTATTAGGCGAGTGTTTGGTTATGGATTGTATGCCTCTGTAGTGATGTATGAAAAGTTGTGATAGTGTTATGCAGTACTCAATATATTCCTCAGTGTATTCTTTAGCATTTTGTTAGGTCTTCAGTATTGGCTGTATTTATAGTGTTTAGTACTGTTGCTGATGCTTCTCATAGCGATCACTCAATGGGCGAAATGACAGGTGTTAAGCAGTCCTCTCTCTCTCTCTCTCTCTCTCTTAAAAACAGAATTAAATAATAACTGACTTAATCTGAAATGTATTTTTAATAAACATAACTTATAGTGAAATTTGTGAACAAAAACGTTGAATCAACAAATGTAATGCAAATTACAGTAAGAATTGGAGATTAAGAGATCGACATTAGAATTCAAAGACAGTCTCTTTTATCTCATTTAAAGTGAAATTTGCTGTAAATGTATGTAAACGAGAAAACAAGAGAATTGTATAATAAGTTGGAGAAGTTTGAAACGCGAGAATACTGTGTATAACTCATATATAATGGCAAAGGCTTTTGAATATGTAGATGAATGTGAGTGATGTGGATGTGAATGGTATGGATGGGCACAAGCGCTGCCAGAATGTTAAGCGTTTGGATCATATATTTCACTCTTAGGCGACGACCACTTTATTTCATACAAATCGAGGCAAAAGCGAAACATTCAATATTGCGTTTGGAGATAAATATAGTGCCTAACAGTGCCTCAACCCTCACACCAATGGATCCACTTCTACTCATATAACAGCAAACATGAGAGAGAGAGAGAGAGAGAGAGAGAGAGAGAGAGGCACTAGAGCTGACAGGATTGGGTGGGGGCAGTGGGGGCACAGCAGCCCTAATAGCCTTACGCATCAAAATGTGTGACAGAATAGCCAGTCTGGAGACTAAA